GAATGTTTGTCTGTGATTTGTGCATATCGAGATCCTCGTGGGTTCCAACAAAGATGTCTTAGTTTGGGAGTTCGAGCAGCTACAGTTGGAGGAGTGGAGTCGACTTCGATGGCCAGTGGTATGTTGACCACCTTGGTCGTGGGACAGACTCTTCGGGAGAGATAGTCGTCGAGCAGCCGAACAATCGTTTCCTGTGCCGAATAAAGGATTTTTCGTCTAGTGGTCAGATTGGTGGATTCGTAGTCGCATTCGATGGAGCATTGATCTTCGAGGGAAGGCTATGTGTTCCGAAGCTGTGGGAACTGCGAAAGGAGATTCTGAGAGAGGCCTATAGTGCCACGTACACCGTTCATCCCAGTAGCATGAAGATTTTAGGAAAACATTTTGGTGGCGGGGAATGAAGCGGCAAGAAGCGAGGTTTGTGAATGGATGCCTGGTGTGTCAGCAAGTGAAGGCTGAGCACCAGAAACCGAGAGGGATGTTGAAGCCACTTGAGGTTCCCTTTTGGAAGTGGGAGTGCATCACCATAGACTTCTTGGTGGGATTGCCTAGATCGAGGTCCGAGCATGATTCTATTTGGGTGATTATGGATCGACTCACGAAGTCTGGCCATTTTTTGCCCGTTCGGACGACTATGAAGGCTAGTGATTATGCTGAGCTATTCGTTCAGGAGTATGTTAAACTTCACGGGGTGTCCATGGAGATTGTGTCTCATTGAGACTCGAAGTTTACGGGTCAATTCTGGAGGACTCTGCACCGAGCCATGAAGACGAGGTTGCAGTTCAGCACTGCCTTTCACCCCGAGACAGATGGTCAGTCGGTGCAGACGATCCAGTACTTGGAGGATGATTTTAGGGCTCTGATTGAAGCCTAACTTGGGAGAGTGCCCTTCTTTTGGTCGAGCTGACCTACGACAACAATTACCATTCCTCGATCAAGATGGCCCCGTATGAGGCTTTGTACGGACGAAAGGTTCAGACTCTCTTATATTGGGATGAGGTCGGAGAGAAGAAGATCATGGGTTCGGTGTTTATTCGTAAGAATTTGGAAATAGTTGAGGGGATCCGAAAGACTATCAGGGCTTCCCGGGAGAGGCAGAAGGTCTATGCCGATCGGAAGAAGCAGGAGCATGAGTATGAGGTTGGTGATCATGTCTTCCTCAAGGTCTCTCCCATGAAGGGTGTGATTCGCTTCAGGAAGAAGGGAAGCTTCAGCCTTGCTATATCGGGAGCTTTGAGGTCCTTGCTCGAGTCGGGGACTCGGCTTATCGGCTGGCTTTACCACCGGACTTGTCAGGAGTGCACGATGTGTTTCATGTCTCGATGTTGCATAGATATGTTCATGATCCTGACCACGTGGTGGACTTCGGCAAGCTGCAGGTCAAGCGAGACCTTACCTATGAACAGGTACCGGTGCCATTTTGGACCAGAATGTCCATCAGCAGAGGAACCTGGCAGTGAGCCTTGTGAAGGTGCAGTGGAGCCGACATGACGATTCCAAGACGACTTGGGAGAAGGAGGCTGAGATTAGGATGAGATATCTGAAATTCTCGTTCTGAGTCCTTTATATTCTTTGGTTTGTTAGTTATCGTTTGTTTTTGAATTCTGAGGACGAAATTCTTTTAAGGTGGGTAGACTGCAATGCGCCGTTTGTTTATCAATTATATGGGATTATTTCGTTTTACATTAATATTATTAATATTATTTTTTATATTACTATTAAATGTCTAATTGTCTTAATTGATTATTTATATATAAATAATTACGTTGTGTATTACGTATATATTGTATTAGTCGATTTTATTTTAATTATCGCTGCATTGAACCGAACCGAGAGCTCGAAGCCCGATCCGCGCCGCGTGAATCATTTGCCCAGCCCTTCGGCCACCCGCCAAGCAAGCCTTCTAGAAACCACCTTGATTTAAATTTAAAAGTGATATTATTATCCCATTAATCATGCTTTGAATAGAGTTTAAGGGGAGGTTACAATTTTTCCCATAAAAAGTCTCCCACCTCCTTTCTCTGCCTCATCTCTCTCGTCCTCTCTTTTCTCTTTCTCTAAAGACAGACCAGACCACTCTATCCTCTCCCCTAATCTATGTTAGAGAAATGCTATAAAAGCTATTTTTTGCAGATTCTATCGATTCTATTTTGATCTGGCCATCATGTTTCAGTCAAAGTACATATGTTTGCAGTTTATTTATTTATGCAAATCATACTCTATGTCTTATATTGAGATAGTGTGGTTCAAAGTGTTTCGAACAGAAAGATCACCTATCAGTTCCTTATAAGACTAAACTATTCGTTCACAGTCTAGACAGGCAGTGAGACCCCTATTGGAAAAAGACTATAGTGTATTCTTGATTCAGTTGGTCTTTGACTGAAGAATTACACTAACACTTATGATAAGTGTTAAACAGGACCGCAAAAGGATAAGATTATGAGACTCACTGATCGTTGTTGTAATCTAGACCTTCAGTGATTGATGCGTTCTCTTAAGCTGTAAGACAATATAAAATAGGCATATATATATTCACTTCTTTATTTGATTTACCAAGTGATTCCTATTTTTATTAGGATGACATACGAGGTATTTTCGTAAATAAGAATGATTATGTGACGTGCTATTATAAATTATTTATGGTCACTGTAAGTGCTGAAGATTAGCAGTAAATCGATGAACCTTCTGATGATCACATAGTCCAGAAATTTACGGGAAGTATTTAAGGGAAGTTTATTTTTGGTACGAGTAAGTCTTAATTTTAATTAAGTCCAAGGGACTGATTATTTATGTTATTATTTTGGTATGACTTTGGATTGAGGGGGAGATACACTTTCCATAATCTAAAGAGAAGGAGGATCGCGAGATTCACCTTCCATAATCGAAGATGAAGAAGTTCGAGAGATTTACATTCCTTATCCGCATTTGTCTTGGGTGAAAAGACTTTCCAAAGGGTGCTGAAGATAAAAGGAGGATGAGACTAGAGTTGAGGATGACTTTTGATCTGAATTTTTGAGTTAGATATTTTTTCTTTCCTTGAGCGAAAAAGAGTGATATTCAGAACTTTTTGAAAAACAACGTTCAGAGGTTCCTTCTTATAGTTTGAGGGATTCAAACTAAAATATCCACAAGGGAGTTGTGGTCGGATAAGTAGTTGTGTGAATCATTATTCATGTAGAGTGTAGAGGGAGTCTATACTGTAAACCCTTGGATGATGTATGACTTGTTCATATTAATGAAAGAGATCTGAAAGGAGAGTGGGACGCTCTCCTGAAGGTTCAATTTTTAGTAAAAAACTGCTTTCGCGATTGTTTGAATCTTCATTACTGTTAGTCCATTCAATTTACGTGCAACTCTGGATACTTGGTGTTCAAGTATCAAATTTTAATTGGCACCAGAGCGGGTTTTCGTCTTCATTATGAAAGATCCTAGGACGTGTGTTACCCTCAAATCATGAATCAAGAAAGCGGATCGAGGTCCAAGCCCCCGCAATTGGACGGTTTGAACTACTCATATTGGAAGTCTATGATGACAATCTTTCTGAGATCGCTTGGAAAAGGTGTGTGGGAAAGTGTTGAAAACGGCCGGGAGCATCCAGTCATGCAACAAGCGCCTGATCAAGGTAAAGAAACAACGAATGTCACGGTTTCTAAACCTAAGGACAACTGGACTGATGTTGAGAAGCTTCAAGAAGGAGCCAACAATCGTGTCTTGTATGCGATTATGATGGAAGTTGATCAGACAAGACACAAGATGATAGTTCATTGCAAAACTGAAAAAGATGCTTGGAGGGTCTTACAGCGTCAATTTGAAGGTTCAACGGTTGTCAAAGCGTCCAGACTTCAACGGGTAACTCTTGAATTTGATGAGATCAAAATGAGGGATGAAGAGACAATTGACGTATACTATGCCAGATTCTGTGATCTTGTAAATCAAAGTATGATGCTTGGAGAAGAAATCTCTGAGAAACGTCAAGTACAAAAGATTATGAGAACCGTCGTTCCCAGGTTTAGAGAGAAAATCACAGCTCTTGAAAGTTTCCAAAGAGTGGCGTCGTTGGATGTTGATGAATTCTTGGGAGAGCTCATAACGTTTGAAATCAACAACAATTATAACAAAGTCAAAAGTAAGGGCTTAGCTCTCAAATCTGCTGTAGTCGAGGAAAGAGAAGAAAGCGATGATGATGAAGGTCCGTTGGCAGATAATAGTGAACTGATAGAAGCACTAGCTCTGATTGCGCGAAACTATGGGAAGATGAGTCAAAGGCTGTACAAGAACAAATTTGCTGAAAAAAGGGGAACAACTTCAGCAAGAATGTGGTGCAGGACAAGAAAAGTAGTATGCCACTCTCAAAATCTGATTCAAAACGAGTTGAGAAGGATCAATGCAGGGAGTGTCGAGGCTTTGGACACTTCCAGTATGAGTGTGCTAATCTTAAGAAGAAGAATAAGTCACTGAAGGCAACCTGGGAAGATTCAGATGAAGAAGGCACAGAAGAACCTTCTTTGCACACAAGCAACTTGGCAGTCCATACCTCAGTCAAGAAGTTCATGTGTCTCACCACTTCTCATGCTCCGACCAAGTTTGAAGAAAGTTTGAAAGAAACTGAAGCATCTAGGATGAAGCAGATCAAAATGTGTGTGTAGATCCAGTACACTTACTTGCTATGGAAAAGTGTGCTCAAGCATCTGAAGCTCTACAGACGCTTCAAAATGAAGTGTTTACACTTTAAAGAGCAAACAGGGTGCTGAACGAACAAGCATCTGCCTCTACTGTTACTAAAGAGTGTGAACTGGATACTGCAAAGGCATGAACCTGCATCCTTGAGAGCAGTGTCAAACTTGCGATACAAGATGGACTGGAGAAGGCTCAGACCATTGAATGCTTGAGGACCGAAATATTCTCTACTCAGAACCTTCTTGCCGAGAGGAACCAAGAAATCGTGCTACTGAAAAATGAAGCTGATCGGCTGATGAACAAACATGCTAGCATGAAAAACAAACTGAAGGCAAATTATGCTGAGTTGAATCGAACTGCAGAAGTCGTTCGAAAACTTAACAAGGGAAAAGCAGTTCTGAATGAACTTCTTTCCTTGGGAAAACAACATGGTGATCTTACTGGAATAGGGTACACTGGTAGGGAAGACATTCCTGAGTCCTCAACTGGAACTTCAAATACAAAACATACCAGTCTTGGATTTAGGGACAAACTTGGAGTTGGAGGTGTGAACCTGCATGGGAGACCTTCCAGAAACGTGTTTGAAAGGTTTGTAAGAAGCACTGTAAGTAAACCTCTATCTTCACAATCTCCCTTGAAGGTTCATTCTCCTATGCAGAAATCTGTTAATAAAACTCACCATAACTTTGTTCCTATCTATCATTACTGTGGTGTAACTGGTCACGTAAGACCCAAATGCTATAAAATGCAGCATGATCTTTGTACAGGTAATGTTAGGGGATGGAATCAGTCTGGCATTCCAGTGAAGGTTCATGCCAGAACCCTCCCAAATAACCGTACCAAAACTCATCAAATGTGGGTTGCTAAGAAATCCTTCAACTGTTTTGCCTCTGTTCTGTCTCTCAGGACTTCCTTGAAAGGCAAATGGTATCTGGACAGTGGCTGTTCTAGACATATGACTGGTGAACCTTCTTACTTGATGAACATTCAGCCCAGTTCAAATGGGGAAGTCACGTTCGGTGACGGAGTGAGCAATAAGATTATTGGAACTGGCTGTTTAAATTTGGGTGGAATACCTAAACTAACAGATGTGTTACTTGTTGATAAAATAAAGGCAAATCTTTTGAGTGTGAGTCAACTCTGTGATCAAGGCCTTAGTGTCAGTTCTCATGTGATAAGTGTTTTGTAAAAGACAGTGAAGGTTCTTGTGTACTTACAGGTTCTCGTTCAACGGATAACTGTTATCTTGTTGATTTTAATGAAAAATGCCTTTTCTCAAATGTGAGCGAACCTGAAATATGGCATCAACGCTTAGGGCATATTGGATACTCTCACCTTGTCAAATTGACCAATGCAGGTGTAGTCAGGGGTGTTCCAAAGATTGCTGTGAAGGACCAGCCAATTTGCAAACCTTGTCAACTAGGTAAGCAAACGAGGACATCACACAAGTCACTGAACCATATTGCTTCTAAACAGATCCTAGAGCTGCTTCACATGGATCTCATGGGTCCATTCAGGTAGAAAGCTATCAAGGTAAAAAGAATATTTTTGTGTGCATTGATGATTTCTCTCGATATACTTGGGTTGATTTTTACGTGAGAAGTCTGACACATTCTCTGCCTTTAAGTCACTTTGTTTGAAGGTTCAAACTGAGAAAGTTTTTTCCCATAATAAGTATTCGAAATGATCATGGAAGAGAGTTTGAAAATTCTAAGTTTGCTGAATTTTGTGATTCACTGGGTATTAGTCACGAGTTCTTAGCTCCTAAAACTCAGCAAAATGGAGTTGTTGAAAGGAAGAATCGCACTCTACAAGAAATGGCCAGAGTCATGTTGAACTCCAAAAACATTTCTTCCAGATGGTGGGCTGAGGCAATCAATACAGCATGCTACCTCGTGAATCGTGTGTACCTTCGTCGAGGTATTGGTCTGACTTCGTATGAACTGTGGAAAGGTAAGAGTCCTAACCTCAGTCACTTGCATATTTTTGGGTGTAAATGTTTTATCTATAATGATTGTGTACAACTTGGGAAGTTCGACGCAAAATTGGATATTGTATTCTTTCTTGGTTACTCTAACAATAGTCGAGCGTATCGTGTTTACAACACAAGTACCTCCACTATAATTGAATCAATAAACGTAATCTTTGATGAAAAAAATTCTCAAGTTCGTTCCTCTGTATCTTTTAATCAGTTTGATGGTGTTGAGGCATTGCAGGATACTCATGGTGTTGAGAGTCCTGGAGACAAGGAGATAGCTGAACCTTCGGTTGGGGATACTGGAACACCACTTACTACATTGTCCCTGCGACTCAAGAAAGTTCTATGCTACCTAGGCGTGATCCTCCCTTAAAGGTTCAGAAAGACCATCCATCCGAGCAAGTAATTGGTGACATAAACGAGAGAGTAACCAAAAACTCGAAGACGTCAGTCAAAGAACTTATGGGTGTTTCACATTATGCCTGCTACACCTCATTGATTGAACCCAAGAATGCTAAAGAAGCTCTGAAAGACGAGTGCTGGATCTTAGCCATGCAGGAGGAACTGAAGCAATTCACTAGAAACGATGTCTGGGAGTTAGTCCCTGAACCTTCATCAGGAAATGTTATCGGAACCAAGTGGATTTTCAAGAACAAAACTGACGAGCTCGGGAATGTGACGTGTAATAAGGCGAGACTAGTTTCTCAAAGCTACACTCAGACTCAAGGGACTGATTTTGATGAAACCTTTGCCCCGGTTGCTAGACTTGAATCTATACGCATATTTCTATATATTGCTTGTCTAATGAAGTTCATTGTTTATCAGATGGACGTGAAATCTACCTTTCTGAACGGGATATTACATGAAGAGGCATACGTGAAGCAGCCAGAAGGGTTCAAAGATCCCAAGAATCTGAATCATGTCTACAGACTTAAGAAAGCATTGTACAGATTGAACCAAGCACCTCGTGCGTGGTATGAACGCCTTACCATGTACCTTCAGAAAAAGGGATTCAAGAGAGGAGGAGTAGATCAGACATTCTTTGCACTTTGAACGATTGAGGACCTATTGGCTGTTCAAATCTATGTTGACGACATCATATTTGGATCAACATCCAATAAGTTGGTCAATCACTTTGTTAAACTTATGTCGTCTGAATTTGAGATGAGTCTCGTCGGCAAACTCTCATACTTTATTGGACTTCAGGTAAAGCAAGGTAAAGATGGTATTTTCTTGCATCAGGGTAAGTATGCAAGAAACCTTGTTAAAAAGTTTGGTCTTGAAAATGCTAAATGTCCTCAAACTCCTATAGGAACTCATGTAAAAGTGTCCAAAGATGATGAAGGTACATCTGCTGATCAAACTCTCTACTAAAGTATGATTGGTAGCCTTCTATACCTCACTGCTAGTAGACCTGACATTTGCTTTAGTGTTGGATTGTGTGCCAGGTATCAGGCTGCTTCCAAGGAATCACATATGAAAGCAGTCAAGCATATCATAAAGTACATTGGAGGTACAACTGAGTATGGTCTATTCTACTCTGCTGATACGAACTTACATCTTGCAGGTTATTGTGACGCTGACTGGGCTGGAAATCTTGATGATCGAAAAAGCACCTCTGGTGGGTGTTTTTACATAGGATCAAACTTGGTATCTTGGTTCTACAAGAAACAAAATTGCATCTCCCTTTCTACTACTGAAGCCGAGTACATTACCGCTGGAAGCTGCTGCTCACAGTTGGTATGGATGAAACAAATTTTATCTGAGTATGGTATGAACGTTCATTCGGTTCAACTTTTATGTGACAACACTAGTGCTATAAATATTTCGAAAAATCCTGTCCAACACTCTCCAAGCATATTGACATTTGTTATCATTTTATTCGTAATTTGGTAGAAGATGGGATTATTGTGTTAGATCATGTACCTACAGATGATCAGCTTGTTGATATTTTCACTAAAGCTCTTGATTGGAAACGATTTTTCTCTCTGAGAAAATCTTTAGGAATGTGTGCTGTATAATTTATGTGCATTGTGTCAGTTGCATTTCTATAAATATATATGTACATCGTGTCTATTGCATATAGGATCTTTTCTGCTTTTTAGGCATCTTAGTATGTAGGTTCATCCCTGGAATTCATCTCTGATCGATTATTGTTGAGTTTGTTGATTGGTGGTCTGTGAATTCTAACTGGTCAGTTTGTAAGAGCTCGTCATGATGACCATTTTGATATTCTTGTAAGAGCTGCTCTCGTGAAAATAAGCATTGGGCAACTATCACATGAGGTGCTTTCTTGATCACCTGTGAAACGGGTTACGTGCCTAATAATAATCGAGGTGTGATAGCTACAGGTAAACATTCTAAGAATGAACGTTCTCTGGTGAAATAAGGCTGGCCATCCTGATATCTTCTCCGCTTGTTAAAAATTAAAACTTTTTGCGGGATGATTCACACCTCAAGTAATGGGCTTGACATTGGCGTATAGTTGATGTTAGTAAGTGAATTGGTGTGCAAGTTCATAGAACATAGTAAGTTCATCATAAGTATTGGGGCTGAATTGCGAACGAAAATTTTGTTTTTTGCTAAGAGAAAGTGATGAACGAACTTATATTAATTCCGTGTTGTATAAAAGTGGGAGCAATAAGGGCTGAGTTTTGCACGAAGAGAATTTATTTTTCTCATCATCTTGTTAGTGTCGAGCTCGTCTCAAATTGATTTGGGAAGATTTGTGGGTCAATCAATTAATGGATTTTTTCAATATTGCATGAAAAGAAAATTCTAGGGTATTGCATGTTAAATATCTTACTTAGGCATGTGCATCCAGCTTTTCTCATGGCATATATTATTTCGATCTTGAGCCTAAAATTATTTTTGGTACATGATTTGGCTGATATTTTTTTGTCTGAAACTTCGTGCGGTATATATGGTATCTGTGTTAATTTAATTTGGTAAGTAATCTGTTTGGAGGGAACGGTTTTTTTATGTCCTGCGTGGTGTTTGTCAAAATTTTGAATTTCAAATATTGTGAACCGAACCATCTTGTAACCGACCTTGGTAACTGTGATTTAAGTTCCCTATATCATTCATACCACCTTACTTCTCTCTCTCATATCAATCATAATCTCTGATTTGTTTATCCTTCTAAGAACTAACATTCCTTCTTCAAGAGAATTTCTTTTTCTCGACAATGCCTAAATCCAAGCAGGGCACCGTGAAGCCGAAGAAGAATGTTCCTCCGCCATCTCGGCGTTCAACTCATCAAAGCCAAAGTTCCGAATCTCCACCAGATCCAACTCCTTCAACCATGGCAACCGAGGACATTCAACCTCCTGTTAAATCCACAACTAGGGTTTCTCCAAGCCCTAAAAAATCCTCAACGACAAAAGTTTCTCAACCTAAAGTCGCCGAACCCAGTGATAGAGGAAAAGGTTCTCCCTCTGTCGTCAAATCTCCAAAGAAGAGCAAGAAGGTCGCCGAAATTGCTGCACCAAAAACCAAAAAGGCAAAAAATGTTTTTCATGTGCCTGAACCTGC